AGAACAGATAAAAGGGGTTCGAATGATTACTTTCTGCCATTTCTGACCATGCACACCCAACTCTGCTCTCAGAATTGGGAGAGGAGTGGGGAGGGACTGCCATGTCTCCTCCATTTCCAAATCTAAGATCAAGGAAGTCCTTAGCCAGTCTTAATACAGAAGACACTGAAGTCATTTCCAAAGACTTGCAGGCTCAGGGAAGACTGGCCAGGTGTGCTTCATCCACTGCTGTGTACATAGCACAGTGCTTGTGCTGTGGAGGAGCTCAGGAGTCATTTGCTGAGACTGCTCCCAAGTACACATCCGTGAACCCCAGGTGTGACTTCAGTTGTGACGAAGCCTTACATTTAATTATATCGATGTTAAATTTTTCTTTGTTTTGTAAATTGATCTTTTTTATTTTGAGATAATTATAGGTTCACATGTAGTTGTAGAAATAATAGAGAAATCCCTTGTACCCTTTACACATTTTCCCCAAATTGATGCTATTTATAGTCCAATATCACAGTCAGGATATTTACCTTGATACAGTCATGCAAGGTAAGAAGAGTCCCACCACCACAAGGATCCTCCTGTTGGCCTTTAAGGTCACATTCACTTCCCTGTCCCCTCACATGTCCCTAACCCTGGCAATTACTAATCTGTTCTCTATTTCTACAGTTTTATCATTTCAAAACAGTTATGTAAGTGGATATACCCACATTTTAATTCCATTGCATATTCAGGATTAAGCATTTTGTATGATAGAAAATTTAAGAAAACTTTTCAGTTAATTTTTTTGCTTGTCTTTCCTCCCACTTCCTTCATTTTTAACTTTTGAATGGAGGCTTAGAAGATTTTTCTTCTTTGTATCAATGAAGATTTCAATGATGTATCTTATTTCAGCTTAAGTAATATTAAAAAGCAAATGATGTTCCAGAGCTGGGGAATAATTTAATGATCATAAAGGCATAACAAATTTTGTTAGGATGTCTAAAGACAATATAATCAGATTCACTAACTGTGGGTACTAGCTTCATGTACTAATGAAAATGGTGATTTTGTGTACAAAATCAGTATAGTTGGATTTTTTAAACAAGTGGTAAATACAAAAGTAATCAGTAAAACCTTAGCAACTGAGATAGCTTGGTGAATGATTCAAAATAACAGTGTTTTCTGAATCTTTGAGGGATAATATCCATAAGCATCAAAAAATGTTAGATGTCCAAAAGCATCAAAACTATTAACTGTTTTGGAGAAAATATTTCTAAAATGTATGTCTCCACTATGTATTCTTTTTTAAATTGAATTATAGTTGATTTACAATGTTAATAGGCTATACTAGATATTATATAACTATTTTATTTATGACTTCATTCAGTGGACAAATATTTACCAAAGTACATGCTGCATGAGAGTCATGAATAAAGTGGACATGCTGCCCTTATGCAATTAATGATCTAATGCAAGTGAAGACACTGAGCTAATAATGCAGAGCTGATAACTGGAAAGAAAAGTAAATACAATAATTTCTAACTTCAGTTTGGCGGCATCTCTATATGAGGAGTAGGTGCCTGAGAGCCAGGTTGGAAGGGAGGTTGATGCAGGAAGTAGAAGACAAACACACGCCGAGGGAAAAGTGTAGACAAAGAAGAGGTAGGGCACCATCAAAAATTTCCACATGACCTCGTAAAATTGACATAATGCAAAACAGCATAAAGCAGAGAGCACCAGCACACTGACATCCAGCTCCCAGACCCCCTGGCAGAGCTCTCTGTGTCTGAATCCAATGCAAACATATAGACAGACGATGCTGCCTCAGTGGCATCACCAAGTCCCATGACATTTTAATGAGAAACTAATGAATTAATGTGTTTGTGTCTGGCAGAATTTATTGTTCACCGATGAAAATGACAATTTGGAAATCAAAGTAATTGATTTCGGGTTTGCACGCTTAAAGCCTCCTGATAATCAGCCTCTGAAGACGCCGTGCTTCACTCTTCACTATGCCGCCCCCGAGCTCTTGAATCACAACGGCTACGATGAGTCCTGTGACCTCTGGAGCTTGGGCGTCATTTTGGTGAGTTCATGTCAGCAGAGCCGCTGAACTCAGCCAGTTCCCTGATGGCCTCTGGCCTCTGTACATCTCTCTCTTTGCCGTTTTCCTTAAATTCCTGAAAAAATTGGCAAATTGGTTTCCTTTCTATATAGTCAATAACAGACCCGACAGAAGACTATTTCCCTTTCTTAAAATTTACATTGGAGAAAATGTAGGAATTTTTATTGTGGCTTATTTGGGAATATTTAAGGCAACTGTGCTTCATATGAATTACAGTTATATATATATTAAAGAAGCAATAGTATATTTTCATAAGATATGCGTATTAGATATAATGTCAAAATAGCAAAATGACTCATTAATAGAAAAATATTTTTTTAAAAATTCTCTGAGATTTTCAGACCAAAACTGTAACTAAGGACTATCACTTAGAATAAATTAACAAATTAATAGAGAAAAAAATTTAAATATTTATAGTAACTTATAGTAATCATGGTGAGGCTTTTTACAAAATGTCCTTGGCTCCCAGGATCAGAAGCAGAACATTAAGCTAGAAAAATCTCGGCATGTTTTTTCCTCAAAATAGCTTTACTTTTTCTGCATATAATTTGTAATGCATAATCATAGGGAGAAATTTTCAGGCAGTACAGAAAGATAAGGAACAAAGTGAAATCACTTGTAATCTCATCACACTGAGATGATACTGTACCCTAAGCTTTCACTCTCCTCCTCTCCCTCCCCCGTGTTATTTATGCTTCATATCTTTCTACAAGTTTCTCAGTATATTTATTTAGATATTTGGGTTTTTTAACAAATGAGATTATATTATATATGTAGTTTGAGTCTCCAAAGTTTATTTACCATTTCTTTACTAGTGAGCAGTTAGCATTTTCTACTTTTTCACTAAGTATAAGCTGCATAGATGAATATTGTAATATATGTGCTTGCCATTTTAGGAGAAGGATATACACATCTTTATTTTGACATATATGCCTGGATTTCCTTCTAGAAGGTTTACCAGACCATATTCTCATCAACTGCTTGCAAATACATTGGATACTGTCAATTTCAATCTTAAATTATTTCCTACTGTTATTATAATTTGCATGCATTTATTTAATGAATATTCAGTTTGAGCATCTTTTCATGCATTTGAACATTTTGTATTTTTTTCTTTTGTGAACTGCTGCTTATGAGCTTTGCCCATTTTCCTATAGGGGAAATTTTTCTTATTGAAATTTAAAGCTCTATTAAGGATTTTAATCCTTTGTCTAGCATTTGTTGTTACCTTGAAAACTTTGTTTATAGTAATATGGAATTTTAATTTTGTTTTTAGAGGGGTTTGAAAGAGAAGGGTTTTTTTTATTTCTATGTTGTAAGGTATATCAGTCTTCCCCTTAATGGTATCTGGCTTTGATGTCAGATTGTCACTCCACCCCAACCCAAGATTATATAAATATTCTCTTAAATTTCCCTTTAGAAATATGTTTTATTTTTATACTTATGCACTCCATCTGGGATTTATTTTGGTGTCAGTTTGTTTTCCTCCAATGGCTAGCCAGTTGTCCCTGCTGGATGATCCAGGTTTTTATTTTTAAGCTTTATATGGTTTTTATTTCAAGAATTTTAAGTCATCATTTATAATTTTCAAACTAAAATTACATATTTATGAACACGATTTTTAAACAACTAACTTCTGTAGATTTGAGTTATGTTTGACTTAAACATTACATTTGCATTAGTAGCACTCTTCTAAAAAATTCATCTAAATAAAAAAGAGCCTTTCATTTTTAGCAATAATATAAGATTACCCCTTGTAAAAAAGCCCTCACTCAAACACAGGCTCATTATAATTATCATGCTTTGAAGGTTTTAAAAGACAGTCTTAGACATACAGACAGGTATTTTAGAACCTCCAAATGCCGTATCCATGGAAATAACGTTGTATAATGGCATGGAGAGAAGCTGGGCTTCTCTCTAGATCTAACTGCCAAGTTTTAAACGGGAACAGGGACAACGAACAGATTACACCGTACCACAGGAGTACAGTCACAATGTCCAGACTGCGGCAAGTTCTACAGGACAAACAACGCAGTTTCTCCAGCAAATAAGTGTTATAAGAAAAAATAGCCTGGGAACCTATAGATTAAAAGACATTTAAGAAACAGTTTTTGCATCTTACTTGAATTCCGATTCTACTTATTTAACTCAAACTCTTAAGTCATACAAATGTAATTACAATAATATTTATACAATGCATGTAACAGAATTGGGGAAATCTGAATACTGACTGGATATTGAATGATACAAAGGAATTACTGCTAATTGTTTTTATGTGTATTAATAGATTGTGGTTTTTAAAAATCCTTGCCTTTTAGAGATAACAAAATGAAATATTTACAGATGAAAAGCAAAGTTAGCACTTGCATTAAACAAACAAAAGGAAGAGTGCTTTGCAAACTTTTCCACATAAATGAGTGCATCTCTCCAGAGGATCTAAATACACAGTCTAAGTAGTAAGCACAAAATTTATTTGGAGTTGTCTGGTTTGCCTTAGAAATCTTCAGCCTTTTACATGTTGCATCTATATGAATGTGGGTACTAATAGGAAAATAATTTATGTTCTCCCCATTGAGTAAAACAAGTAATTTATGAAGATGGATCACGTGTCATGTGGGTTTGATTACAACTCAGTCTACCTCATGGAAGTGCAGTTTCCAGTGGAAACATACAGGACATTTTATTTTATTTTATTTTATTTTATTTTATTTAAACAGAAGTACTGGAGATCAAACCCAGGACCTCATGCATGCTAGGCACACATTCTACCACTGAGCTATACTCTCCCCGCCCAGACTTTAATTAAAATTGAGCTTACACAGCGTCTTGGCCTGCTCATGACTGCCATAATGAAATACTGCACACTGGGTGATTTAAACAACAGGAATTTATTTCACAGTTCTAGAGGCTGGGAAGTCCAATATCAAGGTGCCAGCAGGGTTGGTATCTGGTGAACCCCCTTAGATTGCAAATAGCCATCTGTTCACTGTGTCCTCACATGACCTTTCCTTGGTGCATACACTTAAAGAGAGAGAGTGAGCAAACTCAGTGATGTCTCTTTTTGTAAGGACGGTAACCCTATTGGATGAGGACCCCACCCTGGTGACTTCATTACCTTTACCTCCATAAAGGTCCTATCTACAAGTACAGTCACGCTGGGCGTTGGGTCTTCAGCATATGAATTTTGAAGGCACATGATAATTCGGTCCATAACACACAGTATTTAGAAAATATAGGACATTATTACATGCCATCCCATGGGTATACATAGCATACCCATGGGATGGAATATAATAACATTTAGAACATATTTCTTCCAAATGATTTATTCAGGATTCCCCAAATTTTATTTTGAAAATTTCAGACCTATAGAAAATTTGGGAGAATAATACTGTGAACATTTAATATTCTAATTCCTCCTTGTGTGTATATATGTACACACACACACATACACACACACACATAGATACGTATCTTTGTGTGTATAGATGCTTTCTTGCCCAACCATTTGCAGTTAGCAGACACAAAATTATTCTTAACAGAAGTTGACTCCTGGATAATCAACTAAACTGTAAGATCTTGGATTTGAAAGGAACTTAAAGTTTGTTTAATTCTACCTCTTCCAGAGAAGGGATCTTTTCTGCAAAGTCCCTGTCACTAATCTCCTTTAAATACTTCCAAAGATAGAGAATCAGTTTTCCATCCAACAGCCTATTGAATTATTACACATCAGAAAGCAAGAAAACTGTATTCTAAAGGATACTTTCTTGTATTTAGCCCCGTATGTATCTGTTAGGAAGTGGGATAAGATTAAGAAGTGAAGCAGGTTTTGAAAAACTACTTGGCAGTTATCTACTGAACATACACAGACCAGATGACCCAGCAGTTCGAATCCCAGAGATATAGCCAACAGAAATGTGTATTTTTATGTATCAAAGGACATACGTAAGTAGACACAGCAGCATGTTTCAAAATGCCCCAAATTGGAAACAAGTCAAATGTTCATCAACAATAGAAAGATATTCTAATCTGGGTTTCCCGGAAAGCAGAACCTGAAGCTAACGCGTGTGTTTTGTCATGTTCCCAAGGAGCATAATCCTAGGGAGGGAGGAAGGAGGCAGGGAAAGGGGGAGAGCAGAGGATGCACTATGGAGTTACCACCCGTTATTACCAAGTGGAGCTGATCACTTGAGTTCTTGGACCTCTAACTGAGCAGACCCTAAGGCTGCAGAAAGGGGGTCATGAATCCATAGACTAGATATGGAGGGCCTAGCACCAATGAATGGATCAGCCATTGGTTCGGCACAGTCCTCCAGGACAGCCCTTCAGCCCCTCTGCCCTGCCAGGGTATTGTCCTGAAATGGTGTCTTCACTGAACTTTTCATGTTCTAACAGGCCAGCTGCACCCAAGTGAAAGAATGCCAACCCATCTGTCAAGTAGGCCCAAATTCCTTTCTTCCTTCATCAGCTGATCATAGGGAACCACCCACAATGAGGCCATAGGTGTGAATTAAGTAAGAAGCATTGTTGCAACAGAGCGAGATGATGTGCACCTATGCATGCAATTTGCTGTGCCTTCTGGACCTCCTCGGGTTGATTCTGAGTGTCTCGTGTCCATGGGCCATGGATCACTGCTGGGCTTTATGAATCAGTGCATCTGCTAATCCTAGTGCACGATGCACTGCTCTTGGTATCGCTTGTTTAGACACTCAGAAGCTACCAGGGACCAGGAGTATCCTGGGAGCTGATTTTCAGAGAGTAGTTCTCTGCCACAGAAGGCATGGCACTGCACCCGAATCCTTTGGGTCTGCTCCGCAACTCTTCTGTTGGAGTTGCCAGAGTCTCCACCCAGCATTCTCAGCTCTCACAGACTCTCAAGCACAATCAGCTCCACCAAATCCTACAGCCTAAGTAGCAGGACAGCTTATGTAACACCTTGGACCTGCAGAAAAACCCTCTTTACTCTGGGCCCCACTTGAAACTGGTAGCCTTCCAAGTCACTTGATAAACAGATTGGAGCAGTATTCTCAAGCGCAATGGACGCTGCTGCCAAAATCCAAAGAAGCCCACTGTGTCCGGTGCCTCTTTCTTCATGATACGAGGTACAGCAGTTTATCTCTTTGAGGGGGTTGTCTCTACCCGGCCCGTTGGAGCTCTAAACTCTGTACCAGTGTGACAGTCCTCTGAGCATTGTGCAGTTTATCTCCTACCCGCCGGCATGCGTGTGGCATATAGGACATTTAAGACACATGCTAGTTCCTGCTCACCAGGTCTCTCTTAATGAAGACATCAATATAGAGACCCAGCATGGAGTTCTCTAGACTGTCAATATGATCAAGGGCCCCGCAGACATTGTAACAGAGCAGGAGGGTCAGCATAGCTCTCGGGCAAGACATTGAATGCTGTCCTTGCCATGTAAAGACTTACTGCTTTGATCTTCACTGTTGATGGAAAGAAGAATCCATTGACCAGATTAATAGGTGTTTGTTCATGCCAGAGACATACTAACTTATACTATATAGAGCATGGCAGCTGCACTTGGGGTCTGGCAATCAGGTGTTGGTTGTCTTCCATCATTCATGATCCATCTGGTTTCTGCAGGGGCCAAACTAATGAAGATATGATGGGGCCTACCACCTCATATTCTTCAGGTCTTTAGTTGAGACATTACTCTTAGAGATTAGGTATTGCTTATGATTTAGGATCTTGGCCAGAAACAGCTTCAGGGATTTCCCCTTGGTGCTTCCTCCCATGTGGCTCTTCATCCACAAAGCAGGAAGCCAGTGTGAGGGCTGTGACGGTACCAAGCACTGCAAAATGCACTTTGGCCAAAACTCTGTCTGAAACCTGAGTAAGTAAACACCATTCCCACTAGAGGACCATGATAGTATTTTGGGTCCCCTGGTATCAGCACTTGGACCCCAAGCAGGTCTCCAAAGACCTGGGTTTTCCCCTTTCCCAGTACACCCTGGCAAACGGCAACATGTCTATTCGTGGCAAGATTGGGAAAATGTTTACTGTATATTATCTCTGGCATTATAAGGCCCTTCTTCAAAGAGACTTGTCTTCCCCATCAATCAGAACTTTGGGTCTCTGAACTGTCTCAGATAAAGAAACTGAGTGAGGGACAACTGGTTTTTTCCTTTCAGTGGCTGATGCTAGCCTTCAGTTCCCTATGGGGAGATATAATAAACAAGTCATGCAACACTAGCCATCTGTCCATCTCTCTGCCCACCTGGACCTATTAACCATAGTTACAGATCCCTCCAAATCAAAGCACCATGATTGTCGGCCAAGCCGTGCTTTATTGCCTCTGGTGGCTCAGTGATGCTGCTCGGCCTCTGCTATGCCCAAATTCCAAATCCAGTCACCTCACTGATGCTAGAGAGCTCAGTCTCATGACAGCCTCTTCCACCGTCAGCCCTGGCCTACAGCAGACAGCCGTCATCAAACTTCTCAAAGACACAACTGTGGTCCTTACTGCCTTGATGAAGGGAGTGTGCTCTAAGCCCCCCGGGAACACTGGCAGGTAGTAGGTTCCCAGGTCTTACATGGTATACAGCTCTTTCAGTATTCTCATTTCCTTGAGCCTTTTCACCACTTTCTCAAAACTATGCTGAGGAAGATCCAGCATTTCCCCTTATTTGCCCTAAGCCATTGCTCCAAGCTTCAAGGAGCCATTTCAGCCAACTACTGGCACTGGTTCCAGGTGTCCCTGAGTCTCAGATGAGTGTTTCCACGGCAACAACTTCTTCTCCATCAGGTCTTATGTGCTACACACCCACCTCAGTGCAGCATTTTCAAGATCCATTCTCATTTGTGTCCCTCTGATCCCCGCTGGTGCATTTCAGCCAGGGCCTGCAGGTCTTCTGACATGCACACATTTCCGTTTCTCCTCAATTCCCCCTCCTCAGGGACCGCACTCCTTACTAACATAATTATATATAAACTTTTGCTTCAGACTTTTTGCTTTCTGGGGAACCAGGCTAAGACGGTGCCAACAGTGGCCCAGAAAGCTGAACTTTAGGAAGGGGCTTTGAAGCTGCATGACTCACTAGTCTGATGCCCCACTTTACATCAGGTATGGGGTACCTGCTGCTGTCCCACCAGAGAAGGAGAAGGAAGGGAGAACAGAGCGAGGCCAGGATGGGGGTTGGGTGTGTTACTGAGCTGGCGACTGCTTGTTACAAGAGCAGCGACTGCTTGATCTGGTGGGACCAGCTTCCAAGAGCTTGGTGACCTACGACCTCTCAGGTGAGCCTGTCAGGGGATCAGGGAGTAGAAGGGAAATGGCATATTCCTTCTAGATCCCTGGGACGTCTCCGGAGCTTTCATACCTCCTACGTAGGGCTGGGGTCCAACAGAGACCCCCTCCCTGTGTCCGCCCCTCACTAACTGCCGTGGTGGGTAGGCTCCCACTGTCCCCACCAGCCTCTCCCCACACCGCGCGGTTCTCTCTGGTCTCTGCACAGGAACACCGGCCAGTCCACTGCCACCTCCCACTCGCCTTCTACCCCTGCAAACCTGTACAACTCTCAGTGAGCAGGGAGAAAACCATCCTAGAATTTTAAAGGATCTCTTCAAAAATCCAGCCTGTGCTACAAAGTCACACCTTAGCTTTTTGGTTTCTCTGTTGATTTTTTAAAGGGCAAAAACCTTAAACATAAATTTTCAAACACATGGCTACAAGAAAAACAGATGGTTGTAGTGAATTCACTATATTTAACACAATGAGAAAAATAAAATTAAAATAGGAGTAATTACAAACAAATAAGAAGGCATAAATAAAAAAAACAGAGTTAAAATCCTAGGAAAAGGGTGTGTGGAATTGGACAGAAAAAAAAAGTTGTTAAGGGGTTCTGCTGTCTCTCAATTTTCTGTTAACATTAGTACCATCTTTTGAAATAGCTGAAGTATCCCTTTTTTATTCTTTTGCTGAATACAGTTATAAAAATGGTTTTAAATCTTGATATTAAAATAAACCATTTCTCTTTATATACAGGTCTGAAATGTGTTGGTTG